GACGCCACTGTCATATTGCGTCCCGATACTTCTTATACATTAACAACTATCCAGTATGTAATCTGCTCCATAAAGAGGTTCAGTCGATGATATCCATATTAAAATTTCTCGATATTCAAAACACGTCCACGCGTGCTTTGAATACATTAATCATATCCATTACCTGTCAACAAATTTAATGATTTATGATTTTAAGATAACATGCTATTTGCAAGAATAATTTTTAAACAAACTTCCAGAACTCTGGATAACAAATTTCATAAAATGGACAAAAAAAAAAATTTTAATTACTGGCATTTATAAACTAATTATTGCAATTTCTAAGATAAAAAAAATTCATATAATAAATTAAATAGTTAACTTTAGCACCCACAGATAACCAGTCTAATAATACCATATTGGTCATTATTGTTTAAATCAGAAAAATTCAAATTTGAAAGACAAAAACTACTAGGACATATGAGATATCTCTTTTGAGTTAAAATGTAGATCAGAAGGAAAACAAAGATATCATGACAACTGGAAATGGCGGAACAGAAAGAGAACATAATTAGAGAATGTCAAAAAAAGAAAAAGAAAGAAAATGAAATGAACATCACTTGATCCTCCAATGAAAAGCTAGATTCTTCAAAACAATTTAAAACAAAAATGAGAATATGTGTTAGAAAAATTAATCAAAAAAGAAGATACAATATCTAGCGAGTCACTGCAATTATTGTAAATGGAGCCGACAAATATGCGTAATATAATAATAATATAACAAACAAGCATAACAACAACAATAATAATAAAAATACTACTACTAATAATAATAAAATAACAAAAAATAATGTATTTTAGTTTACAAATGTATTAGTGAAAATTGTTTAAAACAATTTAAATAAGGTAGGTAAAGAATTCAACAAACAGAAACTCTTAGAGGGTCATTCAAATTGAATGAGTTACTTAAGTTAATCACAATAGGAAAAATCATACCTCTCTGACAATATCATCAAGACCTTCTTTTAAAGGGCTTTCAATGCGACGACGCGGATTGAGATTTGTGTCAGAATATAGGGCACGAGAGATGAAATCCCATTTCAATACTTCATCTTCATTTCCGGGTAGAAACTTGTTTAAACCTGGTTCAAGACCTGAAATGTAAGATGGTTTATTATTAAAGAAAGACTCTTTAGATGAAGAAACTCATTGTTTTACAAAATAGGTAATGAATGAATTTTCTTACCACTATTAAATACTTTAAACTAATGTGAATATTAATTGAATTGAAAATATTTTATTTCATAAGGAATAAGTGCAATTGATGTATAAATGACAGTAAGTCAATTACCTAAAAGTTTTGTATCACCTAAGTAGCCAGAGCTTCCTTTTTTATCAGGAAAAAGTGGTAGATTCCTCCCAATTTTAAAATCTTCAATATCTTCTGGTCTTTTATTCAGTTCCTTCATCATGGCTGCAATACTGCGATGAAGAAGCACAGACTGATGTTGCAATTCTTGAATTTTCAAAGCCTGAAAATAATTGTAGCAGTGTTAAAGAAAGAATCAATTGGGCTAAAAAGAATAGTCTTTTGCAGAATTTGGGGCTGGAAAATCTATGAGAAAGTTTTTAAAATTCATTTTTGAAATATGACATGTCCCCTAGTTTACATGTAACCTACATGAGTGTCTTTGATTGTTGTAGCATGATGCAATGTGATGTAAAGATGTGAATTAAAATATTTTTTATTGGTGCAATTTATTTTGTTTATGAAATGTGTTTCATCACAGGAATTTGAGTAATTGTGTTAACTACTTAAGAAATTTCTTGATATACATGCAAAAGCACTAAAAATAGATATTGATAGAACTAACAGCTACTGTTTGTTCCATCAATAGAGATCCAGCATTTTCAGAAACATACAATATTTTAAGACAATTGCTGCCTCAACTACAAATTTTAAAAAAGCATGCTGAGTTGTGCATACAAGGAGTAAATGAGGATGTATCCTGTAAGTACACTATACCTCACTTCCTAAGCTGCTTGTAAAGAGAGAACAAAGCTATGAAATCTCAAAGCAAAATTTTGATAAATACTAAAATTGAAAAACCAAATAAACTTGCAAATAACGATTTAATGCTTTGAGCACATATTAAGATGACCACTAGTATTAAAACTGTGACTAATTTTGTTCGGAACTTTATTTGAGCCGATCACATCCATAATGTTCATCATATTAAAAAACAGCAAATGTGTTGTCAAAATTTCAATTTTCAGCCCAGATGTTGAGATTAGAATATTTGAAATTGAAACTAATTGACCAAATATTTAAATGGAGAATCAAATATAAGTGATCTCACAAAACTAAAGAACTTCATTGTGTTTCACCTCACGATGTATATAACCCTATTTATGAGACACTCTGAGGCAATACTTAATGTGAAATGTGCTACAAATAGACTTTCATTATTTCTCCAAATGAAAACAATTAATTTAAGAATATTCTTGAAGTGCATTACTAAATTTTGATACATTTAAATAAAAAATAGAAACAAAAAGTGTGTAGGTACTAAAAATAAAGTACACATTTTGGAACAATAATGATCGTACATAATGAATCCAAATCTCACCTTCATGTAATTGTGGATACGATACATGTGCTCATGTTGCTTGACTGGATGTAAAGTTATCGCTCGATGCACTTCCTTCTGTTTAAGGTTTCCAGTGAATGCACGACTGCCACTGGAATTGTGATACAGAATTGTCTGCATCTGAAACAAGAAAAAAGAATGACCACATAAGATGTCATTTTTCATCTGTTACAAATAACAAAACTATGTTGTTATTGCCCAATTTTCAACCAAAGAGTTCTGATCTCAATCTCTACTAGGTTTATTTATTTATTTAGCATCGCAAAATAGTTAAAAACTGTCACATACTATAGATAAAAGTGCAAGTAGGTGTTTTTCCTTTACGAAGAAATATGTTTGCAAGTAAAACATCAGCAATATATCTACACTGTTGAGAGGTAGAAATAGTGTGTTGTGGCTCACATTATACACATTCAATAATGAAAGTTTCAAGCAATATTTCCAGCATCTACACGGTTGAGAGGTAGTAATAGTGTACTGTGGCTCATATTATAATATTTCAATAATGTATAATTATCTTATCTAGATAGGACCTTCATAAATTTGGTTTATATAGTTCGGTTCTTAAGAAAGTTTGCACAATTACTGCCAAAAAATAGGGATATTTAAAAACTATCCTTAACAATACTTTATGTAAACTCACATTTAATAGTAAAAAATAATGATTTTTAATAAAAAGTCTGAAACATACAATATTATAATATGATTTTTTCATAAATGTACTAAAATAAAAGTAAAATACTAAATTATTAATTGCTTAGTAACCCACTTAATTTTCTCTTTATTTAATTTTTTGCTTACTTTATTTCAAAAGTAAAACAAATGTATGTGTCGTATGGGGGAAAATATTCCGACAGAAAGGGTTCTGATTGAAATGGATCATTGAATGAGAATTGGGTCATTGAAAGACCCTGCTTTTACTGTAGATAAAAACAAATATCACAGAACACAAAAAGTAAAGAAAAAAGCTAGTCAACGTATTCAGCGCCGCGATTGTCGAAAGGAACAAGAGTCTAAAAGTGTGCGTGCGAAATTATTTTAAGCGAAGTTTTGACACGGCATCTCAACGAGATGAGAATGACGTGAATACTATTGAGAATTTTTTGCACCGCAAATGTAAAAAAAATATTTCCTTTACATGAACTACTGTATAAAATACCGCGAAATAGTCAACAATAAGCTGAAATGATTTTGAACAAGGGGGCTTTAACCGCTCTAGCCCTCATGTGTCTGGTCTAAACCACGGGTACATTCCTCCTTGCCTGAAATGAAAGCCCGTGTTTCGGACCTGTCTCAGTATGAAAGGCTTGTGCGTATTTGCTCGTCTGGCAGACAGTCTGTTTCTGTGAGTGTCATTCTGCTTGACTGCTTACCCACAGACAGGCACTTTTCTTTTTGGACGTAGCTTTCCTTTCTAGTTTCGTGTCTACAGCTTTGTCACTGAATCATTTTCGTAAAGAGTTTTTAAATAGGCGACGATCCTTTATAATTCATAACGTGCAAATTTGGTGAGTATGAGAATGTATTTTTGAGGACTCGATATGCGTAAAAACATATCAGGCTACCAGCAGTCACTACGAGTAGTAATGTCTGATACTACCATCGGTTTATCGATCCCGAATATATGGATACATAGCCTGAATATTGAAATTATTACATTTTTTTCTCTGTTCCATATCTCTTAGTAAGCTTCTTTTATACATTTTTCCTCTCTCCTCCACGCATTGAAGCGAACTTCAGCATAAGCAATCTCAGCGAATATGATTTCCAGTTTTCACCATGCCCATACACTTTATCGGCAGGGTTTCGTTGATAAACGATAGCGCACAATTAGAACCTTGCTGTGAGTTAATGAGCTTGGTATTGGTACGTATTACATCACATTACACATTAACCCTAGCAACATCACGGTAGAAGTGGTTCTGTGGATTATCAAGGGGAGAGGTTTCCGGAGACCACTGCATACATTTTGATTTTGTCGATGTATTTGACGATTTTTATAGATTATTAAATTGACATAACTAATAATATATATTTGCATTCATTTAAAAAATACATTGTTCAATTTCTGGCTCTGAAAATGAAAAAATAATATACTCTTTCGTGACAATATTAGTATTTAACGACCAAACCTATTATGTTTTTGTCTCAAAAAGATGATCGACGTTTTTTCATAACATAGTAATGTATTAAGCTACATTACACGACGTCTTATAATACTACAAACGTTTCAAAAAAGAATTCTGAATGTTCAGTTTTCGAGTGAATTATACAGACTTTTTCTTAAAGTCAAAGTCAATAACTGTAATTCTAACACAACCTATGATAAATTGCTTCATGCTTTGAACAAAAATTGCACCTGAAACAATTATTTTAAGCTCCTTAAATCTTTGAAACCATTAAGCCTGTAAGACTTCATGATTGAAACCTATAAAAACAAACAATAATCTACGTCCCCCTGAGACCTCCCCCTCTCCTGGTACTTACTAGGTTTCATACTAGCGAGTATCTCTAGCTTTCCCACTGAATGAAGAATCAGCCCATCGCTCTCTAAGAAAACAGGATGGGAAATGAAGGATAAAGATTTTGTTTTTGTTCAATATACTGTTCTGGCATCTGCCTCGAATTGACCAGAGGAAACCACAACGAGCGAGCTGGTCGTTTTCAAGAATTCTTATCCAGAGATGGCATCTGTCCCAGCCGAAAATTCTTCACCATCGTGACACGAACCTAGTATCCCTCGCAAGAGCGCCCAATGGACGGGGCGAGGGGATGAATTGCCGAACGTAACGGCGTTTGAAGCGCTGTAGCGGTATAATTTTGCAAACATATCAATTCGGTAATCATAGTTGCAGACAGTTGCTACTAGATAGTTTCACCAATACCCCGTGCCCATGGCAATTAGTGGGAATGGCGTGCAGCAAAATTAACTCGGGCGCTAATGGGTTAATGTATTGTTGTGGCATCTGCCTCGAACTGACCACATTCACAGATCGAATCAGCTGGGCACCTCAACAGAAAAGTCGACCGACAGAAGTGCCGAAAACTCAACACTACTGGGACGCGAGACTATCCCTCGCAAAAGTACCCGTTGGGGGGTGGGGTGATGAATCGCCAAACTTCCTTTACTATAGATTGGTCTATAGATGACGTTAGGTCATTGAATCACATAACTTACAAAATTCATATTTTTCGTAAATCCGCGTAAATCGTACGTCCTTCTCAACGGGGCTCGTGGCCTCGGAAATACCCTTACCAGTGTTAAAAAATATTAATTTTATAAGGCAGGAGGTGTAACAATAAGCTAATGTCATCGACCACTCTAGAAAAATCGCAAAATCCCTTCTGTGGGATACTAGAGATGCTATAAGCGCACCCTAACAAACGGGCCCGCTGTCGGTTGGTGTCCGTCGTGGCTGCGCGTCGGGAGTCGCCCGGCCCGTGCGCCGGCCTTCCGCTGCCGGTCGGGGGACCGGAAGGGGCCTGGCTGGCGGCCAGCGGGCGAGTTCACGGCCCGGCCACACTCGTCTTCGTCCCTGCCTCCTTAACTCCGGCGCGCCGCGGCGGCGTCGGACCGGCTGAGTTAGCTCGGAGCCAGCGTTGCGACACCCGCTAGATTGCTAGGTCGAAATCAGTCGCTGTCTCGAGCACAATTCTAGCGATGCTCAGATCCGTGGTTTCGCCTAACAATATCAGGCGAATGCTGGAGCAGAACCCGTACAAAGGGGTCACGGACGGCGCACTATCTTCCCTTCCCATTCCTTGTCTCCTCTTACACACACATGCGTCTGGAGGAGATACACTTAGGAGGAAAAAGCACTCAAGCGGACGTGTAAGTCGGCGCTGGATATCACCAAGCGGGGCCGGAACACAGCCACCTCCTGGAAAAAATCATTCACTACATTAAGGGAACTAAAGGTCATTGCAGTTGACGTGTTCGGAAACATCAATCACTCCAGTGACGGAGGCGAAGGGAGGAAAATTACGAAAAAGGAAAAAAAACGACTTATTAGTCGCATTCGATTTTTTCGTTGTTTCTCCGATCAACACCAGGCGAATGCCGGGGCAGTACCTTAACTACTGGGCCACGGACGGCGCGATACTTCCTTCCTCTTCCTTGTCATTTCCTCACCCCTTCACACACTTCACTAGCATGCACTACACTACCACACAGGCCGGTAGTCCGGTCGGAAGCTTAGTGGTGGTCCTGGCTCGAGCGCTGCCCCGCTGGTGGGAGATACCTAGTTGGAGAAATTCCCGCTAGCCGTCGATAGGTCGGCGCCGGATCTCGCCATCCAGCGGGGAAAGATCACCGCCACCCTCGCGGAAACAAACATGCTCTACATTTACGGGACTAAAGACCTTAGTAGTTGACGCGCCCGGAATCACTAACAAGCAACTAACCGTCAATGGAAATCCCCGAAAATTGTAAAAAAATGTATTTAAAAAATGGGTTAATTCACTCATCTTTGGTCATATCAAATAATTATATATAT